AATGACGACTATGACAGTACATGTGGAAGGCTTACAGGAATACATTCAACGTGTGGGTATGCCACCTCACCAGCCAGGTAATGGTGGGCGTTGGCGAGCACGTGGTCGAGGCTAACAGTAGTTGGCATTCCAGGTTCTACCTTCCTTTTCCATCTTATATCGTTGCATTGGGGACAATGATCAGTTTAAGTGTGGGGGAGGAAGCTTTATTGCTTTTATTTATTGCTTTATAGGTAAATTTATCACTTTCTTAGTTTTATTTTCTTGTTTTTAGGATTTCCATTTTTCAGTTTTTATTTTAAAAATAGCAATGTGATATTGGGTCATTTATGTATGTATTTTCTTTTGTTGAAAACTCCCTTTAAACTGACCCCCAACAAATTTATTTCCGTTTGTTTCATGCCACGACACTCCAAGAGTATATAGATTGTTTTGCGCTTTAGGCTTTGTTAGAACGACTTGGGAAAGAAACAATAAAATTGTTACCGTATTAACACCTTAAACCCCTCGAATATGCAATATCAATTTGAGTGCCTATTATGACGAGACCTTAACTTAAGTCTCCAAGTAACCTTAAGTAGTTTATACTAGCAGTCAACACCATCTTAAGCATAAAATACGTAGGGAGGGTGATGAAAATAAGTGAATGATCAAGAACAAATTAATTATAAGAAAAACTAAGGGAATTCACCTAGTAAGTTAGGTGACCCTCACCCGGTCACTTAGCCCAAAAGGTTATTGAAACAGCAAAAACTTAAAAATAACGCCCCGTGTTAGTTGGTCCATTAGTATCTGGTGATTGGACTTGGTAGGGCGGATTACAATCCGATCCCCCACAACTTCACTTGGGTAATAAAAGGGGTGCACCGCTTTAGTTACCAGAACCCCGTGTGATAATGATCATAATCACTAGCAAGTTTCCCTACTATGTGCGTGTAAGGATAAGAGGCTTAATGTGATTGCGCTAGAATGAAAATAGGTGAAAAGAAACTAATAACAATAGGTTAAGTTATAATAGAATGATTCAGATTAGTTTGCATAGGGTGGGAGCTTTTGACCGCGAGTGCGGTGTCATGTCGTTATGGTATCCTTAGTATTGTTGTTTAGTACCTATCAATTTAGCAAAAGCCTAGCAGCCACGTATGATTAAAGTCTTTGTTGTGTGTGTGTTTTTAAACCCGTGCTTTAAATTGCTTTGCGCTGGTTGATTGCTTGAGGAAAAGCAACGGTCTAAGTGTGGAGGAGTTTGATAACTTGAAAATGCATCACATTTTGCAACTCGATTCACATGCTATCTAGTTTCATTTCTCATTTTTATCTTGCTTTTATGTCGTTTTTATTGTGTTTCAGGTGCCTTGCAGATTCGAGAAGAGATATGCATCAAAATCAGAGAAGAGGGAGGAAAGGAAGCCAAACAGTTCAGAAATCAGCCTCTGCTGATATGGCGGTCGCCCCCATCACCATGGCGGACTCCATGGCCACCAGTCACATCATTTCATGAAGTTTGACTCATGTCGATCACCATGAGCCCATGGAGGTCTCCATGCACCAGAAGACCAGAAAACATGAAAAAGAAAACAAACCACTTCTTCCTCCACTTTCCTAGATTTTCTCAAGCAGTTTACACGTTTTTGGAACCAGTTTTGGACCTGTAACACTATATAAACCATATTCTTCTTAGTTCTAGGATCAAATTTTGTGTATGCGAAGCTCCGACAAATCGAAAAGAAAATATTGTACGAATTTCTGATTGTAATCTTGCCGACATACTTAGAAGCAATCAAAAGTTCCTTATTTTTGTTTTTATCAGGTTTTTATTTATCGCCTTATAATTATTGTTTGTTTGATTCATCACCATGTTTCTCTTCATCTTAATTTCCATGTTTAATGCATTTTTAATAGGTAATATGCCAAACTAAGCGTATAAATTCTGGTATGTGAGTATCGTCGTTTCCGACGGGACTCACTAATAAGTTGGCTTAGTAACTTAATTGAAAATTCAGTTACGATCTTTGTTTCTTATGCCTAATTTAAATAGTTTTGTCACGAGAGTGAGTGGTTATTTAACACGATTTTGTCAGGAGAGTGAGAAATTAAATAAGGTTCGAGTCGGCACTGCGAGAGCGTGAGAGTCAAACCAGATAGTAAGAATGAGGCATCGATTCCTAAAGAGGGCGAGAGCGCTTTAGGTGTCAATTCGAACTTGTTCAGTTTTCAAAATGTTCCTTGATTAGAATGGGCGAGCGAGAGCAAAATCCCATGGTTAAGGAACATGACTTTATTCAAAACCACGAGAGTGTAAGATATTGTCTTTAAATTGATATTTTCTACTAAACACTACTCTGACTAATTACAAGCCAACGAGTTACATAGTCCCCGAGGTACGCGAAATGCACATTTCGGTATCTCGTTATTATAATATTTTCCAATTAATTTTAGTTTAGTATTAATTCCCATTCACCCAAGATAATTATCCGTCTTAGCTTTACATAGTAACGATATATAACATTAGTTTGATTATCATTTCCTATGGGTTCGATATCTTTTAAAACTACGCGATTAGACTGTGCACTTGTAGTTAGTTAACCTGATAGACTCTTAAAGTCACAATTAGATATGGACTAAACATTCTGTTGTTGTTGCATTGACGTGTTTTGACATGCATTTATGATGTCATTGTTGATGAAAGAGGCAAGTTGCAATCCGAGTAGGGTGGATTGGTGACTTGTCCGAAATCCGAGTAGGGTGGATTCAGGGTTCGAGTAGGGTGAATCCAGTTCGCTAAGGAACTTTTATCTAGATAGTACCACATGCATATGCATCGAGTTGCATAGTTAAGTTGAATTGCATAATGTGTCATATGTATATTTATTGAGATATAAATGTTGAGTGTGTGAATGTAATTGATATACTGTGATTAAGATCGTGTTGAATATGACTATGTGTGAAGATGATGTTGTTGTATATGATATCAATGATGATTTTGGCGTGAGAATGTGATATGTTGTTGTGCATGTTTGTGTAAATGTTGTACTCAATCTTACATTCTATATTATTATTGAAATGAATTCTCACCTCTTATATTTGAATGTTGCCTTTACATGGGCATCGTACATATACTCAAGAGTAGTATTGGCTGAAGTAAGTGGGAGATAGCTCTTGGAGTGACTCCCATTAGTTGTCGTTTATTAGTAGGGTCTTGCTCTGATTCATGTAATATCAGGATATGAATGTTCGTGTTTTTAATTGCTTACTTTTGTTTTGTTAGAGTTTTCTAATTTTTTTTTGCTGAGATCTCAAAGTTTTGGGAGTTGGATATATTAACTCTTTCTGTTATGTTATAAGAGTTGAAGTGGAGTTTACGAGACTAAATATTGTGAATGCCATATGTTTTAAATATATTCTTTTGTTGTGATTCTGGTGCGAAGATATCATATGAGTTGGATGTCGTTTATACATTCCGGGTACAAATCAGATGAGTTGGATGTCATGTAAACATCCTAAGTGAAATTTGTGTTGCATATTTATTGCATTAAGTGTTACATGATCAACAAGTGTTGTTTGTTGAGAATGTGTGACATCCTATGTGAAAAATCTCTGATTTATTTATATTTACGCGCTCAGGAAATAGGGCGTTACATTTTACATTATACTAAACACAAAATCATGAAATGATAATAACCTAAATTCTCCTTCACCTCCTACAAAGGCTCTCATCGTTGCTATTTTCCACTAGTGAAGATTCAACCAAGATCGAGAAACAATCCATCAATCAACACACCAAGATCTACCTTGGAATGCTCAAATAAAAAACAAGTAAGTCATATTAGGTAAAATCTTTTCCCATAAAAATATAAAATATAAGGATCAACCGAATGAACTTGTAGCTCGATAGAAGTCAAATGACATAAAGACTGAAAAGATGTAGGTAAAGACGACACGAGATCACAAACCACACCATAGCTACACCATACCATGATTGAGTGACAACTTTTACTACCCGACCCATAACTATTTTCACGGTCCAGAGACATCTGAAACCCAAAGTAGGAAGCTCATTAAAGAGATAAGTGGTCATGTTCGTATACCGTAATAACGCCACAGGAAAAATACCATACCTATAAGTGTAAACCAAAAAATGTTATAATACCTCGTGAGTAAGCGTGAATCTACCTTAAGAAAACACCCGATTTGAACAAATGATTTAAGAATGACTTTTAGACAACATAACGAATTACACTATACCATCTACTCATATGAACAACAATTATTTGTTCGAAGATTCCACACATACGAATTTCATTGAATACACTGTTCAACTCATTTTTGCATAAATTTATTCAAACACAAATCATTTTACCTTTAACTCACTTTTAACCAAAATACATTTTAAAGTTAAAATTATTTTTTTCACGTAAAACCAAACACACACTAAATATAATTAATTCTAAATGTTTCAATCAATTCTACTTACGATGAACCAAACACTTCAAAATCATTTAAACTTGTAACAAATCAAACACTTCAAAATCAATTATACATATAAAACTCATTCTTATTTCTTAAGTTAAATATGCATTACAATTAAATGATCAACATGTCTCAAAGTATATAAGAGTAAATCTCAAAGACAATTTTAAGACTCTATTTTGCGTAGGACTATTTTTTTTTTTAATAAACTCAATAATTTGTAGGACTAATTTATGTCATGTGTTATGTTATTTATTTAAGTTTGGTTTGGTCTAGTCCAAACTAAAGCTAAATATTCTCATGAATTTTCGCACATTTTGAGATTTTTCTTAGAAAAAATAAAATTAAAAACAATTTTTTTGGTATACCTTGAAGAACACGAATACAATTCCCTTACATTACATTTCCACCGCACATCTTCCTCACCGCAGTCGTCACCACCAAAACCCTAAACCCTATTTTATAGCCAAACAAACCCAAACTAAAGCCCTTTCCCATTCGCCATTCCTCTCTCGACTCTTCTATCCACCATGGCCGCCGTGCTCCGTTCTCTCCAACGCCGCAACTTCGCTTCTTCCTCTGTCTCCGCCTTTCGATCGGTACATCTCGTTTGCTTCATTTCCATTTCCATCTTCACTGTTTATGTTCTTTTAACCTTACATCTATTTTCAATGTTTGATGAGTTAGCTTTCGTAGACTGCGAATCAATCTGTGATTCTGTTGAAAATAGTTTATAATTTTTTTCTACTTGTTATGTAATTGATTTTTAAGATCTGTAAAACTGAGACTGTGATTCTGTGATTATGATACCTTGTTGTGACTTTCGAAGTTAGATTTCGTTTATGCGTAATTGAAGGATTAACTTGCTGACAAATCTTTCGGTTTTGATTGTTTTGAGGGATTTTTTAAACTCAAATAGAATTACTTGTAAATTTTTTGTGTTACTGATTATTAGGTCATGCAATTTTGCTGGATTACCTGTGCCTACTGGATTTACTGTTACACATGTTCAATTACAGGATGATATTGTTTGTTGCATCTACTCTAATTTTCCATGATCGACAAATTTATAACTTATATGTATATGTATAACAGCTGATGATATCATGGCATAATTCATAGAATAGTTTTTGTTAGATTTGTTTCGGTTTTTATGTGGTGAGTTTTATTCAGAAGATAATTTCCTTTATTCTTTTGCGTGGCTGTGCAGTTGACAGGCAGCACAAAGGCATCATATGCAACTCACAAGTTGGCAAGTTTGGCTCGACCTTTCAGGTGCCTTGTTTTGTTGTTTTTTCATGTGTTACACTATTTGGTAGTTCCATTTTTTCATCAAGTTTGCTCATTGTAAAATTACTTTGTTTCTACAGTTCAAGACCTGCTGGCAATGATGTCATTGGAATTGATTTGGGTACTACCAATTCATGTGTTTCGGTCATGGAGGGGAAGGTGAGACTCCTTCTTTTGATTATTTTCAGACTTGTGTTTGCTACATGGTTTTTTTTCCTGGACTAATATTTATGCTCTTTTCAGAACCCCAAAGTTATTGAGAACTCGGAAGGAGCTCGAACAACACCATCAGTGGTTGCTTTCAACCAGAAATCAGAGCTGCTTGTTGGTACACCAGCCAAGCGTCAGGCTGTGACTAACCCAACTAATACCCTTTTTGGCACCAAACGTTTGATTGGTAGGCGCTTTGATGACGCTCAAACACAAAAGGAGATGAAAATGGTACCCTATAAGATTGTTAGGGCACCCAGTGGAGATGCTTGGGTTGAAGCTAACGGACAGCAATATTCTCCCAGCCAAATTGGTGCTTTTGTTCTCACCAAGATGAAGGAGACTGCGGAGGCATACCTTGGAAAGTCTATTTCTAAAGCTGTAGTTACTGTTCCAGCGTACTTCAATGATGCTCAGAGGCAGGCAACAAAAGATGCTGGTAGAATTGCCGGTCTTGATGTCCAGAGAATTATCAATGAACCCACTGCAGCTGCACTTTCATATGGCATGAACAACAAGGAGGGTCTCATTGCAGTTTTTGATCTTGGAGGTGGAACATTTGATGTGTCCATTTTAGAAATTTCTAATGGTGTTTTTGAGGTATGTACACTTATTTATTCTTTCCTTCCATCCTTCTTAACCATCATTAGGAATTACTCCCTCCCTTCCCATATTATAAGCAAAAGTTACTTTTTAGGTTCATTGAATATCTAATGTATTGGATCTATATATAGACCGGATACATGAAATATTTAATGAACCTAAAAAGTAACTTTTGCTTATAATATGGGACGGAGGGAGTATAATGGAAATGGTTGCTGATAACATCTTTTTCAGGTGAAAGCAACAAATGGTGACACTTTCTTGGGAGGAGAAGATTTTGACAATGCCTTGTTGGACTTTCTAGTGAGCGAATTCAAAAGAACCGAGAGTATAGACCTTGCAAAGGATAAGCTTGCTTTGCAGAGGCTTCGAGAAGCTGCTGAGAAAGCAAAAATTGAACTTTCTTCAACTGCACAAACTGAAATAAATCTCCCTTTCATCACTGCTGATGCATCTGGTGCAAAACATTTGAACATCACATTGACTAGATCCAAGTTTGAGGCTTTGGTAAATAACCTGATTGAAAGGACGAAGGCACCATGTAAGAGCTGCTTGAAGGATGCTAACATATCTATCAAGGATGTTGACGAGGTTCTTCTTGTTGGAGGGATGACTCGTGTACCTAAGGTCCAGCAGGTGGTTTCAGAGATCTTTGGAAAGAGTCCTAGCAAAGGAGTAAATCCTGATGAGGCTGTTGCCATGGGAGCAGCTCTTCAGGGTGGTATCCTTCGTGGAGATGTTAAAGAGCTACTACTCCTAGACGTAACTCCTCTATCTCTGGGTATTGAGACTATGGGTGGTATCTTTACAAGATTGATCTCCCGCAACACAACAATTCCTACCAAAAAGAGTCAGGTAATTGCAATTACTCGACACAATTGTTTCCTACTTGCCAGTTTCTGAAGAAGTTAATTTGGTTCTTTCTATAGTAATGTATTAATCACACAATTATTTGCTTAATCAAATCTACCCCACCCTGTTCCAACCGACAAATAAAGCAGGTATCTTACAGTACATCAGACGTTCCAGGGGTAATTAAGAGAACCTGTGCATATAACTAAATTACTCTTTTTTTAAGCCAGTTTTTCACGTCAGATGTTTATCCCATTTAGATTTGTTTAATGTAACAAGTGTTCTAAATTTTGACACCATTGTTTCAGGAGTTTTCGACGGCATCTGACAATCAGCCTCAAGTGAATATCAGGGTGTTTCAAGGTGAGCGGGAAATGGCCGAAGACAACAAAAGTCTTGGAGAATTTGACCTTGTTGGCATTCCTCCAGCCCCAAGAGGTGTGCCTAAAATTCTAGTCACATTTGACATAGATGCCAATGGGATTGTCACTGTCTCTGCCAAAGACAAGTCCACAGGAAAAGAACAACAAATCACCATTCGCTCATCTGGAGGACTCTCGGATGATGAGATCGATAAGATGGTCAAAGAAGCTGAGTTGCACGCTCAAAGAGACCAAGAAAGAAAGGCTCTCATTGACATTAGAAACAGTGCAGATACAAGCATATATAGTATTGAGAAGAGTTTGGGAGAGTACAGAGAGAAGATTCCCGCAGAAGTTGCGAAAGAGATTGAAGATGCTGTCTCAGATTTGAGAACGGCGGTGAAAGGGGAAAATGCTGATGATATCAAGGCAAAACTAGATGCAGCAAACAAAGCTGTGTCCAAGATTGGACAGCATATGTCAGGTGGTTCAAGTGGCGGTCCCTCTGATGGGGGTTCACAGGGTGGTGAACAGGCTCCTGAAGCAGAGTATGAAGAGGTCAAAAAGTGAAGCAACTTAGGCGGGGCTCTGTAGCAGTTTTTTTTCTTACTAAACATCACATAATTGCTGGAATCATACAAGGTTGCTTATTTTTGTATGTAACGTTTAAGGCCATTTTTTACTAGAATTTTGTAGTGCTGAACACGGCTATCTGAATAACATGATTGAAATTTATTCACAAGTTATCTACCACTGATTGGTGGTTAATATTATTTTGCACTTTTATTCACAAGTTAGACTTCACAGGAGAAAAGGTAAACAGTAAGTTATATTGCTGTTTTGGCATTTTGCCAAGGATATTGATTGTTTTACATGTGCTAGAAATTACAATTATCACTTGATGCCAAGTGCGTTGACGTGCTAGTCTCAAAGACCATAAGTGCTAGGGGAGTAGTGCGCTGGAGCTTTCATTCAACTTATGGTAGTCGTGAGACATAAGGAAAATTGCACGTGCTGTTTTTTAACCATAAATGTTTCTTTTGCATCGTCACATTCTTTTGCCATAAAGGGATCGTAGAACATGGGTGTTGTGAAGGAAGAGTTTAGATTCATAATTAAAGCTAGTTAAAAGGTAAGAAAGCATCATAAGCTCAACCAGTAAGCACGAACTCACCAAGAAACTGTTGATGGAGTTGCAGTAGGTTCAGAATGTTTCTTATGTGATTGGTACAAAGGTGGTTTAATGACAACAGGATGGTTTGTGTATTATGATCATACTAGTAAAAGTCTACTTACGATTTTTTAAAAAGATTTTAAATAACATGTTTTATATGTTTGTAGTTGGAATATGGAAAATAAAAGTAAAAACCATTATATATTTATGAAAATTAACTTGATATATGACTTAATACTCGTAGTACTTAAATTAAATTTATCAAAAAGCATAAGTAAAATATATATATATATATATATATATATATATATATATATATATATATATATATATATATATATATATATATATATACCTTCTTGAAAATTTAGAGAAATTAGATGTATTGTGGCTATTGAGAAGAATATTGTTTATATAAAGAAATTGTGGGGAAAACAATACAACATACGTTGAACAACGGCGAATAAATCGTATAAAGCAACTATTGCATATGGCAGCATACCCAAAAATCATAATTAGGGGAAACATGTGGGTATAGGATGAAGTATTCATCTGCCCACAAAACTTACTTGTATAGCATTAAAGGGGAAAACCTAATCCATAATACTGTTAATTGAATGTGATAGACATTTCTATCATGCGCGTGAAGATGAATCAACAAAATTAAACTGACTATTCCCAATACAAATAACATGAAACACAAGTGTTAGGTTTTCTTTTCTTTGTTGTGAGCAAAAGAAAGCTACTCCCAGACTACGAGCCATGACTGGATCACGCCACCACTGTCGTGGTTGGATTTCAGACGATGATTTAGATTGCATGGGGTAAGTACTGTGTTGGTTTGTTTGGAAAAATATTTGAGAAGTGACCTTCGAACTCAAAATCGATGATGTTTTATAGTTGTTCTTCGAAGCTTTGGTCAAATCATGCATATTAGTAGTTGTGAATATATTTGAGTAATCAGATTTTAAAATTTCCATTATACTCCGCAACTTTAGGATTTGAGTACTTCTATTAATTATATGTATTCATTACAAATTAAACAGTGTTAGAAATTTGAATTGCATTCTTCTATGGTGAACATAATTTCTCAATTATGTTGTTTTAAAAAGGGTTAGATGCTACATTGATTGTCAATTTCTCATATCTTTATGTTTTGAAGAGATTGTATTTAAGTTGTTAATGTTATTATATCTAATTACAGAGCTGTGGTACATAAACATATAAACATATAAACTTTTGCTATATTGAATTTCAGTGATAAAACTGCCATGGACATCATATATGAATTGATTCAGGAGGTTGCTGAAACTTTTGGGAAAAAGAAGTCTGTTCAGAAATCTCGCAGGAATGTAGTTGTTGAGAGGATTGTGAAAATTTATCATGCTATCAATGATGTTGGTCCGAAAATTGTACCATTGAACAATCAAAGCCATGTTCTGAAAACTGTAAAGGTAGAAGATGCTGTCAATACATATGCTAACAAATTTGACAGGGCAAATGGTAAAGAAGTGGGTAAAAATAGAGATACTGAAGTTGCAAAATTTTTTGTAGATAAAAGAAATGTTGGCAAGTCCAAGTCCCTTGACAAATGTGTGCAGAAGAAAGGGAAAAACAGTCTTGTTCAAAATATCTTTGTCCACCAATGAAGAAAAAAAGGGTTGTAATGAAAAATATAAAGGAAGGAGATGTTGAAACTGCAGATGTTAACATATTTGATAGAACAATTTTTAAGCTGATTATGAAGAGTCGTGCTCCCAATACCAAAACTCTTTGCAAATCTGGACAGAAGGCAGTAGAAATCAAGACTGTTAGACATGAGATTACTGTTAAATTTTAATTTGATTGTGTTGAAAGAGATTAGATTTATTTTAGATTTAAATAAGATTTGATTTAGATCTAAAACATAATAGATTTGATTTAGTATCAAAATAGGTATTTTGGATTTTTATAGTTTTAGGCTTAGGGTGCAAGCTAAATCTATAAATAGAGGGAGTAATCCCTATTTTGTAATCAAGTCAATTAAGTCATTTACAATACTTTGCAGTTGTAAAGTGAATAACAAAGTTTTTCACAGTTTGTGGGTAGAGAGAAACTCTGCAGAAAATAATTGTCTTCTTTCTTTTCTTGTTTTTCTCATAATTCATTGTCATTGAAGTAGAAATTCATCATAGATATTTGGTGGATTTCCAACATCTGGTATCAAGAGCTCGATTTCGATTCAAGAGAAGTATCAATCAAGAACGATTGAAGAATTCACGATGGCAAATTATGGGAATGCAAATTATCCAGCAACTCTACCAATTCTGATAGTAGACAACTATGAGAATTGGTGCAAACAGATGAAAGTTTTATTCAGGTGTCAAGATCTTTGAGATCTTGTAAAAGATGGATTCGAAGCGCTTGGAGAAAACGCTTCAGAAGAAGAAAAGAAGAAATACACAGAAATTGAGAAGTTGAGTTATAAAGCACTCTTTATAATTCATCAATGTGTGAGTCCAGGAAATTTTGAAAAAGTAAGTGATTCAGAATCTGCAAAAGAAGCTTGGAATGTTCTTGAGAAGTTCTTTGGTGGTGCAAAAAATGTAAAAGAAGCGAGGTTACAAACTCACAAGAGAACGTACAAATTGATTCAGATGGAAGATAGTGAGAGCATATCTGATTTCTTCACTAGAGTTACAAAACTAGTGAATCAAATCAAGGTATATGGAGAAATATTAATAATAAGAGATATTGTTTCGAAGATCTTGAGATCTTTAACTCCTAAGTTCGACCACATAGTGGTGGCGATAGAAGAAGGGAAAGACTTTTCGAAATTGACAAAGGAAAAGCTTCAAGGGACGCTTGAATCTCATGAACAAAGAATGAATGAAAGAGCTGTAGGAAAATCGAAGAGTGATGTGGCCTTGCAGGCACATTCAACAAAAGAAACCAAAGACAAAGGAAAATGTTTCGATAGAGGTAGAGGCGGCTACAACAAATCGAATGATAGAGGAAACCAAAAAGAAGAAAACTCTTCGAATCAAAGAAGACTACATCAAGGCAACCAAAGAGGTGGTGTTGCAAATAGAGGAAGAGGTGGTGGTCGAAAACCTGATAAGATTCACATTCAATGTTACAATTGTCAGAAGTATGATCACTATTCGAGTGATTGTTCAGAAAAGCGTAAGAATCAAGAAAGTGATGTAAAGCTTGCAAAACATGAAGAAGAAGAGATGATGTTGATGGTCACAATAAGAGATGAAGATAGATTCAAGGACCAATGGTATTTGGATTCAGGATGCTCATCACATATGTTTGGAAGGAAAAACTGGTTTGTCAATATAAAACCCTCAATGAAAAATATGGTAAAATTTGCAAATGACAATACCCTAGCAGCTGAAGGTATTTGTGATGTTATGATTATGAGGAAAGATGGCAAGAGGTCAGTAATTTCCAATGTGTTGTACATATCAGACATGAAGAGCAATTTTCTCAGTATAGGGCAGTTGACCGAAAAGAATTATAAAGTGTCAATCGAAGATAAGATGATGAGAGTCGTCGATGCAAATGGAGCATAAGTGCCTTTCGACTGCAGCTAGCAGAGATGAATGGATATGGTATTATCGACTAGGCCATCTCAACTTCAGAGACATCAAATATTTGAAGAGAAGAAACATGGTTTCAAGATTACCAGAAATCGACATTCCAAACGAGGTATGTGAGGAATATGTGCAGGCGAAGTAACACAAGAATAACTTCAACAAGGATGTTGGTCGAAGGCTACTCTTGAAGTCATATACTTTGACGTATGTGGACCAATCCAGATGGATTCGATAGGAGGTAACAAATACTTTGTTACATTCATATATGACTTCAATCGAAAGCCGTTGACTTACCCGATCAAGAAGAAAAGTGAAGTGATCGAAGTATTTGTCAAGTTTAAGTCTATGGTCGAAAGACAAAGTGGTCGAAAACTCAATGTTTTGTGAACTGATATGTGTCGAAAGAATTCGACATGCTATATGAAAAAGAAGGGATTATACATGAGGTGGTGCCATCCTATACTCCATAACAAAATGGAATTGCAGAAAGGAAGAATCAAACCATCATGAATATGGTACGAATTATGTTGAAAGGCAAGAATTTACCTAAAGAGTTTTGGGGTGAAGCTGTTTCGACCGTAACATACATTTTGAACAAATGTCCTACAAAGAAGCTAGAAGGAATTACCCCAGAAGAATGTTGGTCTGGTGTGAAGCCTAGCTTGAGTCATTTGAATGTATTTAGATCTATTGCACATAGACATGTGCCAGATCAGTTGATAAGAAAACTTGATGACAAGTCAAGTCAAATGATTCTAGTTGGATATCATTCGACAAGAGGCTACAAATTGTTCGATCCAGTGAAAAAGAAG